TATAACTGAAGGACCCTTCTTCTTCCGCGTAATGTATTTCCAACAATGCCGTTAACAAATATTTGCCCGTTAATAAAATTCGCAGCACTTGCATAGCTGCGAGGTGCAACATCACTAGCAATACCACTCCACATGTTGGTTTCTGGATCATACACTTCACATGGATCTCCATCTGGAAAAAATGGGCGAAGGCCTCCAAACACAAACACTTTTCCTCTGATGGCCGTGCCAGAAGCAAATGACCTCTCTGTGAGAAGTGAAGGAAGATTTTCCCAGACATTCTTTCTGGGATCAAACCTTTCAACAATGTCCAGGTACTCAAAACGTGCACTCATACCTCCAATGGCATACAAATAATTTCCGTGAGCCACTGCACACACATTCGACCTGGGGCTACTCAGGGGAGAGACTTCTTGCCACTGATTTGTATCAGGATTGTATCTTTGTACTGTGTCAAGCACTGTTTCATTCTTGTCTCTCCCGCCAACAGCATACAATAAGCCTTGCACTGTTACCGCAGCTATACGATGGTTTGCAATTCCAGGAGCGCTTATAGGGGCCCACAGGTTACTTGATGGATCATAGTACTCTGCAATGTTGCCATTTTGATCCTTGCATCCTCCAAGGACATACAACTTGCCGTGAAGAGAGCTCATACCATAGTTATAACAGTCATGCCTGGATAGCTTCTCAGCCAGCTCATACCACTTGTCTTCTGAAGGAATGTAACAAATTGTCTCCTTTTCTGCACTAGCAACTATGGCACCTTCATGGGTTTTCAGACAGTTTCTTGGTGACTGAGAAAAAAAGCACTGCTCTGTATGATCATTAGGTACCTCCTTCATGGCATCTAATACAAACTCTGAACACGCTGTACTAGTGTTCACTAATGGATGCTGCAACATGACGTCAAACGCATAGCTACGGGACACAAAAATACAGCGAACATGACGCAGCAACTGCAAAAAGTCTTGATCTTGTCTGTTCACACTCTTCTCCATCCACTTTACGATCACTTCAAAAACTTCTTCCTCCTGTTTAACGACGACTTCATCACTTGAAATCCATTCTTCTATTTCTTTGCCGCTCACATTCAGAAAGTCTTCTGTTGCAGACACAGCAACAAGGTTGGCAAGAATGAAATCCCTCACTCCATTCTTCAATTCTTCCCCATGGTACTTAATGGCAAAGTTGTAAACCATGAAGCAGTTAGATACATTCAGTGTTTGTACAATGAATTTACTGGATAAAGCTTTGAGACTTGGAATCAGAAAATAATCTGCTTGTGTAACCAATTCGAATGCATTCTCCTCAGTAACCTCGACATATCCTGTGTACAGAAACTCCAGGATCTCCTCCATTGCAGTTTTGGTGGTCTCTTTCAATCGGATCACTCCTTCTCTCTTCTCTTTCATTTCACTGTTAAGAGCAGTGTAAAAGAATGGACTGGCTGCACATAACACGTTTCTGTGAGCTTTCAAACGAGCTTGATCGTCACCGGACCCAACTTCTAGAATCACATCACAGAAATGTCTGTTCTTTCTCTGAATGTTAAGGCTTTTCATCACTTCAGTACGATACTCTGCCGTATCTACAATCGCCTCGAGTGAAGAATTCGTAAATTTTCCCGACAAAGCTTTAAGACTTGGGATCAGAAAATAATCTGCTTGTGCAAACAACTGGTTTGCATTCTCTTCGGTAACCTGCACATGTCCTGTGTACAGATAATCCAGGACTTCATCTATCGATGCTTTGCTCATCTCTTCCAATCGGATCTCTCCTTCTTTCTTCTCTTTCATGTCACTGTTAAGAGCGTTGTAAAAGAAAGGACTGGCTGCACATAACACGTTTCTGTGAGCTTTCACACGAGCTTGATGGTCACCGGAGCCAACTTCTAGAATCACATCACAGAAAAGCTCGTTCCTTCGCTGAATGTCGAAGCGTTTCATCACTTCAGTACAGTATGAATCCTTTCCAGTGTCTGTGATTGTTTTCATAAGAGAATCCATTGCCAGGTTGATTAAATAAAATTGATTCCTTTCACAAAGAAGTCAAAGAACAAGAAGGTTTGGTCTTGGCGACGCTTTTGGCGCGGCTTACGTCAACTACCTCGTGTAGTCCATTCTGAAGTGTATTTCGTATCATGTACGATTACACATAATGTACTATGAATGTAACCACGCACCATTAAAAATGGCGGAGGTGGAAGACCTGATCGTCCGATACAACATTGAAAACAACCCCAACTACACCATGAACCTGGCTCTATTTACGGACGTCACAAATAGCAGTGAGCTTCGGCAACTGATCGTCCAAGGAAAACTAGAAGCTGCCCTTTTAAACGCGTGCATGGTACTGTTGATAAACTCATATTAAGGCTTACTTTTCCCATAAGCTTATATTTTAGCAATAGACAATTAAGTCACCATTAAAAATACTTTATTCATTCTCTGTTACCTCAATCGGGAAAAATATGATTAGATATACGATTCATGTAAACCAGGGAGCAACTTCAGAATACCCGGCCACTTTATTTACATGTGTTGGTGTGCTTCGAAGAACGAGGTATATAACAATAGTTGCTATTCTTATTCAATGAGATGCTAATAAGTGGCCGGCTATTCTGAAATTTCTGACAAGCACCCCTGCACCTGTGCAGGGGTGCTTGTCAGAAATTTTGAAAAAGACCCCTGAGAGGGTACCAAGATCCTGTTTTGTGGGCCTGGCTGGAACATTTTTCACCCAATGCAGTACCAATTCTCAAACATATATTATCTCCTGAAATATTTTTTTTGTCGCTCAGTGGCCTAAAGGGTACAGCAAAACCTTCCACTGTGGACCTTTTGAGGCTGAACACCCTATGAGATACCAAAAGCACTCTTTTAACTCTTAAAAGGTACAACAAGCAGCCCTGTCCTTTTCACAGGGGAGCCCCCCCCCCCCCACCCCCATTAAAGCCCTGACCTAAGGGAACATGTCAACTCTGTCTATATGCTGGTTATTCTGAGAAGCCAGATAACATTTTGATTCTAGGTGTTGTGCATAGCTAAAAATTATTCAGTATGGGGAAGAATGATGGTCTGGGATGGCAAGTACTCACAGATGCACTAATATCATATTATTATATTTTGAGAGACAAAGTGGAATGACTTTGTTGATTATTTTTTATCTGTTACTTTGTAGGTCACAGATCCATTTCATGTTGTTATAGCTGGTCACAAAGCTTTTCAACTGTTTCAACAGGGAAAGATGAAGACTAGAACCCTTCACTCAGAAATTATCTTCAACTTATCACCCTCTACCAATGTTAGTATAACTCTGTTTTAGGTTGACCCTCTTGGGAACAGCACTAGGGGTGATCATAAATGGTAAAATGTGAGACTTGCCAAGAAAGTGAAACCCTTGTTAGAACGTTCAAGACTTTCACTGACTGGGAGACACATGAAACAACAACAACAAGAAGTGGCGATTCGTGACTCATCAATTTAAGGATTTAAAGATTTTGAAATCAGATCAAAAGTTGCCAAGCTGTAGGATTTTCTTGGTACCAGCTGCCACCCTAACTTTTAATTAGCTGTTTGCCTTAGAGCAAACTGGAACAAAATCTTTGTTACAATCATTATTAGCTGTTCACACTCCATTTCTATAATGAAAGTCATAGAAATAAACTGTTATAAGATCACCATGCTGTTAGTGCTGGCTTTAATAAGACCAGTACAGAATACAATCATGGAACATCGGACCTATAATCTATGGATTATCAACAAAGTTGTATTTCTAGTGTTGGCATTGAGAGATATTTTTAATCATAATCTTGTACTTCAAAACGCGCCCACCTTAGTCTATCTAAAGATCAAATTTAATTCCTTTGTCTATTGACATCTGAATAGCTAACAATGAAATGCCTAGAGGGCCCAGAGGTAGATCTATATATAGATCTTTCAGTTTGATTGATTGGTACAATGACAGATGCCTACCAAGTCTGAGAAATCATCAAAATTAATGCTAACTTTGCTTTGGCAGATAAATGAATCTTTCAAGAAGTTCGGAATACTTGACAACACAAGCAATGTGTTATTGGTGATGATTACACAAGAAGATGCAGTTGAAAAGGTAGGAGTGGTTATTGCGTTTAATAACACTTTTGCTCGTTATGGCATTTATTGTACTAACAGAACATTGAACAGATTGTCCATTGTGACTGGTTCTTAACTATTATAATTTAAAGGTGTGTTCTGTTATATTGTAAGTTTTGTGACGCAGATTGTTCTGCGCATGTGCAACATTGTTCACATGAGAGTTGTGCTCTATATGGTCAAGTCGTGCTTTACTGTGAATACTTCAATAATTGACCAACTATAACATCTGGCGATTAAGATGGGATGATTCAGAAAAAGGTAAAGGATCCAAGACACTCAGATCATGCTGCCAATGAATCCTTTCCCAGATTGGACTCACCAAATTCTTCGATGCACCATAATCTGACTGATCTTGGATCAATGATCCTCAGTTTGGATCATCTCAGAGGAACACACCCTAAAAGAGTGCTGGCTCAAAGGTTCAATAATTTAATGCGGACCACAATGCCAACCCCCCTTGCCATTAAAAATGGATAAAGTCCGCATACAAGCCAAGTGGCCCATCAGGCCAGAGCTTATCCCAGTTTCTGTGGTATGAAGCGACTAGGAGTATTTCTATTCCCCCCTGGATGGGATGCCAGTCCATTGCGGGGTTACCCCCAGCATTAAGTTCACTGGTGCCGATTTATACACCTGTGTGGAGAGAGGCACTGTGAGAGTAAGGTGTCTTGCCCAGGAACACAACACAATGTCCCNTGAAGACGAAAGTTGAGTTATGTGTTTAGATTTGGATTTTGTTGGAATGGACTAACATCCCTTGTCGCTTTATGCCTCAGTGACTGGCATAAGGCCTGAGGACGTGAACCACATGCAGACTTTTCAAGCTCGTGTTTGCTCATTTATGCATTGGTTGTAAAAACTTGAGCCTCGTGCACAAACGAGTCGCGTCAACATGCTGTTTGTTTATTACCTGCAGAGTAGTTTGACATCAAGTGATTTTCTAAATACCAAATTCTAAGTAATCGCTCCTGATAAACAGAAATATCGAAATGACCCAATCAGAACTTGAGGCAGATCATGTGCCACCAGCGCCAAGCGCGCGAAAAAAAAGTAACTGGTGTTAAGCGCGGAAAAATAGATATAAGATACTTCAGGCTCCCTCTACACTACGCCGGAGAAATTTGAAAACGGAGCTTTCACTCTGAAAACGCATCAAATGTTTTCCATCCACACTACGCCGGACAAATTTGAAAACGCAACAGTCACCGGTCATTTTGGATTTGTGTTTGAGGAAGAAATCACATTATTATCGTGACGTCATCGTTTTCGAAAAGTTCGTTTTCAAAATGTTTCCAGTCCATACTAATACGCAAAGCCGTCATTTTCAAATTCCTCCAGTTCGAAGAGCGCTTTTGAAAAGCTCCGTTTTCGAGACGGATTAGTGTGGACGGTAGGCCTAACCGTAGAAATAAAGCTGCGTTTTCAAATTCCTCCGGCGTGGTGTGGACAGTGCCCCAGTCCCTAGTTTTGCTGTTTGAACTGAATACCAGTGGAGCATTTTTGCCTCAGTCTTGAGGAACCAGCGTGTTTAATTGTTTGACCACTGAATTGGAAAAAAATGTGTTCTTTTTGTACCTTACGTCCTCAAAATTGCAAAATCTTGGACGCTTTTCAAGAAGTTCATTTCAATTTTTGTCTCAAAACATGGTGGACAGACACAAAGGCCCTTATTTGCAAGAAATGCTTCAGTGAATGACTTTGTCATAAGAAATTGTATCGGTTTATTTTAATTTAATTGTGCGACAATCCCTACTAATTACTTTAAATTAAATTTACCTCTAAAGCAAGCAAAACAAAATTGGTTACGTCATGTACTTCAAACCAGCTTTTGAGGGACTGTTGATTATTCATGGTGCATNTTTTCAAATTCCTCCGGCGTGGTGTGGACAGTGCCCCAGTCCCTAGTTTTGCTGTTTGAACTGAATACCAATGTAGTATTTTTGCCTCAGTCTTGAGGAACCAGCGTGTTTAATTGTTTGACCACTGAATTGGAAAAAATGTGTTTTTTTGTACCTTACGTCTTCAAAATTGCAAAATCTTGGACGCTTTTCAAGAAGTTCATTTCAATTTTTGTCTCAAAACACGGCGGACAGACACAAAGGCCCTTATTTGCAAGAAATGCTTTAGTGAATGACTTTGTCATAAGAAATTGTATCGGTTTATTTTAATTTAATTGCGCGACAATCCCTACTAAT